ACGCCACACAGATGTTCCCAGCGCCAGGTGCAAAGTGGCGAAGGGGGGCTGGGGGGGGCAGTGAAAAAAAAAAAAAGGAAATATTCTGCAGAATGCACAATAAGAGTTTAATTATGAATAATACCATTGGCTCTTTGTTCTCACAGTGGTTTGCCTAGCGTTTGGGAAGTTGTTTTTGGCTACCATATGGGGACTGCTGTCTGTCACAAATAAGCTTGGGGATAATTACATGGTAAAGAACAATGCTGTTTTGTTCATTTGTAAGATAGGATAAAATGAAAACTCTTCTACCACTATAGATTAACGATTCAAATGTTTCATGTCTCCACATAAGAAGACTGGGACGAACATTAAGAAGTTCACTTTTAGCTTTTTTTTTTTTTTTTGTGACAAAACAGAAAAGGCCTAGGCCTCCCTTGGTTTTAATGTTAGCCGTCTAGTAAAGCCAACAAACAATCCATCCGTCCAGTCTTCATTTGGTGAGCTGGAGCCTATCGCCACTAGATGCCGACTTTAAATGAGAGGCAGGTTACACACCTGACAATAGACAAACAACCACTCACACCGACAGACAATTGAGAATCTTCAATGAACCAAATATCAGGATGTCGGAGGAAGGCTCCAAATTTGACATAGGAGGGCCTGAAGCCAAGATTCAAAACCAGGACCTCCTGACTGTGATGCGGACGTGCTAAGAATGAAAACAAACGCACAGACATTTTAGACTTAGGAAGATGTGAAGGTCAGATATATGTGACCTGGCCGTTCAGACTAGGATCGCATTGCCCATTTAAAAAAAAAAAAAAAAAAACGTCCGAAATGGAAAAAAAAAAAAAAATGTAATTGAGCCATTCAGACCATGAAAAAAAAAAAATTATGGGCAACAAACAAAACAAAAAACGTTGATCTGTCTACATGTGTTGCTACCGCTTGTGTATAAATTGATGTTGTTCAAAAGGTCCATAATTACAGAGACATTGATGCTAGGTTTGTTCTGTTAGCATTAAGCTAGTGGACCTTCACATGTGAAAGTGAATGCAATTTGGCTAAATACTTCATTTTCCATTATTTCTTTTTTTTTGGGGGGGGGGGAATCCTTGTAATTTGAGCAACCTGGAAATCACCCAGCATCACTGAATGGGTTGTGTTGGAGGTTCTAGTGAGCAAGATGCAAAAGCACTCGTCTAAACGATCGATGTGGTTTTGGCGAATAAAATAGCAGTGAGAAGTTACACGCCTAATAGTTTGCATTTTAAGGACATCTTGAGGTGTGGAGCAGATGATCTCCGCAGGCCTCAGACAAACACCAAGCCAGCTGGTCTGAGACAATCACAATACTTCACTGTTTGCCTGACCAGCAGCAGAACACAGGCTCTGTCGCTCCCTCGGGAGCCGATACAAGAGAGATGCATGTTAAAGCACGCATATCCCTCATGCGCCATATTAATGAGCACAGCAATGCTTCGGCTTGAAACTGTCCAGCTGTCTTCAAATAGCCAGAAAGACAAAGTGCTACAGCCTGCTAGAAGTCAATTTACATCTGTGTGTGTGTGTGTGTGTGTGTGTGTGTGTGTGTGTGTGTGTGCGTGCACTAATGAATTTTCAAGGAATTATTGAGTCCCCCCCCCTCCAAAAAAAAAGCCCACATAAATTTGACTAATTATCCTCATGCTAACTTCAAATCCACGAAAACCTCGGGCTCTACATCCTTCTTAAGGAGGATTTGACAGCGATAATGAACACCTTAGAGCGGGAAAGAGCATTACGCGAACCGCAGTTCATATTGCATCAGTTTTGACTCACGAGCCACTGAAATGATGATGAGAGAGTATTAGCGAGAACAAGTTACGGCAAGTGCTGTGTGCGTAAGCTGCATCTATTCCAAAACTAATGATTTACTTGTTAGAGCAATTATCGCTGTGAGACATGCTGGAACATCTGCATCGATTTGAATTCTGGGAGGCCGGTGAGGAGGGGGGCGGGGCTTACAATCTGGATTTTCACTTAAGAGAGCAAGATAATCTGTTGATGTTTATTTTGGTAATTGACCATAAATTGATGGAGAAATGCATTCCCCACTCGTGGCACTGCCTTCCCGTTAGACCTCCGCAAAATTATTAGAGTTTAGAAACACATACCTCGGGTCGAAAGTTTCCACCTGTTGATAAATGCAACGTATCAGTGGGTACTGAATCTTTGGCAATGTTCAAATTGACGTCCACCGCTTGGTTCTTTTTTTTGGGGGGGGTCAAATAGAGAACAATGTGAAAATTATTCCGCTCATGCTGACTATGTCCTAGAAGGATTTCATTTTTTTGGGAGGCGGGTTAAATATTTAAATATCCAAACAATTGGTAGGTTATTCAGTGTCCTGGAAGATTGGCTTCAACATGACAAGTTCCACCGTAATATTCTTTTTATGTAAAAGACTGTCGGTCCTTCTCTTCTCATTCTGGTGTTTGGTCAAATTCACCTTTGCAATGGACGCCCGAAGAGTAACTTAATGCTTGAGAGGCGTTTGTCAATTCTGGCAGCCAGCAAAGAAACACTCAACGGTCTTTTAATAAGTGAAGAGTCAACTACTGATTGCAGCGTCGCTGAAATCAAGGTGAGCATGAAGTAAGACACTGGTAAACCCATCGTCCTTGTTCGGCTACCTCTGCCTCTAATGAGGCCCGTTGTTCAGTCTTGCCTGACCTCAATTCATACCGGGCTGAATTAATAAAATCTTTGCACCTCCTAACTACAGCTATGGATAAAGAACACCGATTAATTATGGCAACATCTACAAAGAACTGCAAGCCCAGATGACCTTGGATTGATGAATGAATCTAGACTAAAGGTAACAAAGGAGCGGGGTAGAAGTGGCTCCTAATCGGTGGACTCGCCAGGAAAAGTGGACAGTTTATGAAAAAAAGAAAATTGTAATGTCAAGGTGGCGGTGGGGGGGGAAAGCTACAGTGCATTCATTTTCATACTATACGATGGTGACATACAGTAATGCAAAATAGATGCGATCAGATCTGTGTAAAATTTCGTATTTTATGCAAAATCGGTGATCAGTTGTCATAATTTGCTGATCGATCAACGAAATTATTGATCGGATCCACAAAATAAGACATGACAAACAATATCGTTCAGTCCAAGGACGTTCTGTGCTGCAATCGTTAAAAATCCGAGCTTTCTCAGCACAGTCTGATTTATTAAAAAAAAAAAAATGCCCAATGTTTTTAAATTTAGGGTTTGGGAGGTTTTTTTGGGCAGGGGGTAGGGCTCCCCCGCTCCAAAAACATTTTCCATGTATTAAGTGTTTATAGACCGTTTTTGGGAGAATTATTTGGGTGGAATTGTTATTCCACTCCCCATGCACTTCAATGGGCGACAAACACAAACAAAATTAAGGGTATTTGTGGGTCGGGTCGGTCCCAATCACTGACTGTACAGAAAGTACATTGTTTAAATAAGTTGATCCATCTTCTGATTGGATCCGTTAATTTTTATTCATTAAAAAAATTAATAAATCATTGGCTTCAAAATCCTGATTGTGTAAAGCCTACATAATAGTGCCCAGCTCTCTTTGACATGAAATGAAATCCAGTGCGCACTTGCGGAGGGGGGACGACGACGACAAACCTGAGGTTGTGTGATGTCACTGGTCAATTAAACACCTCCCACTACGGGTTGGCATCACTCAAAAGGCTCATTAACCTTCCTGACCAAACTGCAGTCACCATGAGAAAAGCATGCCGTCAAACTGGCCAAGCCCCACATGGGCAACGCAGGTCAACACCCACGCAAGTGACATGGAAGGGAATTGTTCGAGAGACTCTGCTGTGCCGCGCTAGTCTGTCTGGGCACTTTGTTTAGTTGCACATGGTTAAGCTAATAGCAAAGGTGATGCTTATTTTCATTTTTGTAGACATGAATTTTTTTTTCCCCATAAATGAGCCAAGGTTCGTATTTGCAGACCTAAAATAAAACACAAGCGCAGCTCTATAAATCCTAAACACACTATTGAAGCTGAATCACAAGGAATACATATCCCAGATGCATTCCATTTGGATTTTTGAATCAATGATGCATACATTTAGCGGAGAGCGACGCCGTCTGAAGCAAAATGGGAGCAGCAGAAGCGTCTTTGTGCGTCTGCTTTTCAGACTACTCGTCTTAATCTATGGAGTTGATCTCCTGGTTCTCTTAGGATTTAAAAAAGAAAAAAAAGTCTACAAATATTTGAGTCAATCAGCAACTCAACACACATTTGGAATGCTAAGACACACAAAAAAACAAATGTATAAAAAGGAATGGAATAGGAAGGGGAAAAAGGGGAATCGGAGCGGTGCCCAATTTGGGGGTGTAAAATATGGAGAAGTGTGGATCATCGGGGGAGCAGCTCTGCCTGGGGGAACAGATGAAGGGAGGACACTGTGCCAAGATCTCTCCACTGGAGGGGGGCTGGGGGGGGGCAACTGAGTTAGTGGAGGAGCTCTATGGGAGAACGAGTGTGCGCCTCGCATGCTGCTTTCCTCAATCGCAGTCTCACACGCCTGCATTGACACGTCTCAGGCTGCGTGCAGCGAGAGGGAAATTGCTGCTGACAGGCCCTTGCAAACTTCACAGCCATTTAGAAAGACTTACTCCCACACTTTTGTCACAGGCGTTTATGGCGGCGGATACACGATACCAAAAATCTACATTTTGCAACTTGGCATCGCCCTTTTCACCAAGCTGGGCCTCGGGACCATTCATAATTTTCGGCCCCGGTGCACATGTAAACATGAGCTAAGAAAAAGTCATCTGAGCACATGAGGTTCAAAGTAAGGATGTCCCGGTCACCCACTCGCCACTCACCCTGGGACAATTCACTTGATTTTGAGTATTTGCCAGTAAAGTCCCGATTTGAAACCTTAGCAAAGCATTGAGGAGGAGAAGTAGAAGAAGATCGGGCCCCATTTCCCATCACGTGATCATATCTTGAAAATGCTGTTGGCAAAACGTACCTCCATGTCTGTGATAACCCAGTGCCTCCAGTAAGCCAGCACTGGTTTAGAGCGACTTGGAGCATCAGGATCAACCATGATCAGAGTGTAATTGGAAACCTGTAAACACAACAAGAGGACCATGTCATCATCATCATCATCATTCAACTCAATGAGAGATTGCTTTACTACACCACAATGATTTACTCTTGTCACCTCGGGTTTGGTTCTAATGTCACTCTGGCGTCATTTTTAATCAAGAACGCTATCAATGTGCTGGTCTCTCTGTTGGGGTTCGCGAGCCCGCTTCTGAGGCATTCCGCTGTATTCTCAAACCTGGCATCATTTAGCTTGGCAACAAAACTGTTCCGACAATTCCAGTCGGATAAAGCCAAATCCTCTTGTTCAAAAACGATCACAGTTAACTTCCTGCCACTTACCAACTATCTTAATACCCCTCAATCTGTCATTAGATAAAGTGAGAAAAGAAGCATCTAAAGTGACACTTGATCACACTTATTGGACGCTGACTTGGCGGTCTAATTGCCGGAACATTTTCATTCTGTCTGTCCCTAAAAAGTTACAGACTTATGAGAACAGATTGAATTATTGCGAGAGCACATTTGTCATCTCTGGTCCTGCGCCCAAAATCTGCCAGACCATATGATAGTTTTTTTTTTTTTTTTTTTTAATGTTCACTTCCTCTACAAAACAGACACATGAATTGCAGCCGTTTCTCACTGCGATGCTCTCCTACCGCATCGTACTTTGAGCTGAAAAAAAAAAAAAAAAGAAAAAAGTATTTAGCCGTTTCTGTCAACAAGAAATTAAATTTACGTTTTGTTGTTGTCCTCTCAAGTCATTCTTAGAATTAATCCAAATCCACTGTACTAGCCTATGATCGAGTAGCAGTCATGTATTTTTTTCCTTTAGATGCTCATTTTGAGAAGGATTCTCTGCCTACCTGACAAGCGGTAATAAGCGTAAACAACTAAGCCTAATAATAGGATAATACTGTCGTCTCAGCGATAGCGCCTGCAAGGTAACACACAGACACGCCGGCAACAATAGAGCCTCCTCCACAGCCTGTCAAAAGTGACTCTATATCAGTGACCCCCCCCGGGCACCTTAGCAACCATGACCTGTTGCCTTCTTGCGAGTTCTGTAATCCTTATTTGAACACGTTTGCTACCAGGCAAAGACGCTGTGATAATGGACTTATTTTCCGAGTCTGATGTGTTCATCGCACACACGCACACACTTGGAATTAAACATGACTCCCAGTCACAATTATCATGCAAAGAAATAGCCATTTCCAGCATATTTCATGGATGGAGATGACATTTTCTTAAACAGTTGACATTGTTGTGTCAACTGTAATTCCTGATGCTTTCTGGGCATATTTGGCTCTTGAATAATTTCTACCTGGTAGAATTGCGCCCGGTCCATCTGGCACGGGCAGCAAAAAATGCAAGAGAGGATCCCTGCATGCTTGCACTTCACACATTGTGGCATGTACCCTTCTCTCTCTCGCTCTCTCTTACACGAGGACATTTTTTTTTTCCCTCTCCATCTGTCAAAATCCACATTAATTGCGCACAGATATGTGTGAAAGACTCCAGGGAAAAACAGATGCATGCTTTGCCATCTGAAATAATTTAACAGGGCTCAAATGAACTAAATGTTGTATCAAAATATGTTTGAACAGAGCACATTCAAAGAAGTGGATACTGGAGGAGGGCAGACTCTTCAAAAAAATGTATCATGGAAACTGTTATCATTGCGACCAATGAGAAATCATCATTGTAGTCCACACACTTCTATTAAGTTTCACTTTTTGTAATGCTATGATTCATTTGATCCATATCAAATGATGAGTATTTGTGTGTTCTGATTTAACATCCCCCCCACAAATGGTGGCCTGGGACTTTTATTTAGATGGGAAGATCGTCTCTTGAAGTAAGAGGGCTATATTTTTGAAATATTGAACATGAAATGCAATTTATGTAAAATGAAGCCAAGCTCTTAAAAAATGGTTATGTGCTTTTTGACATAACTAAATGGGGCACAATGACTACTTGAGGATATACGGTATACAAAGTGTCACTCAGCACCATCAAGTTCTACGAGTGATACTAAGGCCCTGAATGCAAACTGGAGGTGGGAAAGATGCAGGGTGGATCCTCTCGGGATTAACCCCCACCCCCAACAAAAAAAAAAAGCAATTTGGGATCACACCGTATGGTCCGTGTCCAAACATCCGTTACCAGCTAGCTGAAGAGAAAAAGAAAAAAAAAACCCCGGTGATACAAGAGCTCGTTAGGCTTAGCCAGGCTCCGAGTTGCCTAAAAGCTTTGCATTAAGGGTTACGGAAGCTGCATGTTTATTAAGAAAATAAAATAAAAATCCCATAAGACCCTTCTCCTCCGGGCCAAGGTTTGCCTAAGAAGTTGAAGGCTACACTTCTGCATGTGGAAGCTTGCATATCGTGAAAAATGAGGATTTGTGCACAAATAAAGCATATTAATCACCTCGGGGATACACCATTATCCTATTATCAAGCTTGCCTTTGGTTGCTTAAATTCTTTACTCTTAAGAGGGGTACTAATCACTTCAAGAAATATCCCTGTGAGGCACTTCCTGAGAGGCTGAAGGTGTGCAACTATAAAATACAGTGGAACATTTCGAGTGGAACGTTGGTTCACTTCCAACTTTGAACTGAAATGTGTTTCCCCATTGAGACGCCAATTATAATATCGTAAAACCCTTAACATTAAAGGGTTTTTTTTGTACACCTTAATAGATGCCATACACGCACAGTGTATGCCAGGGGTGTCAAACTCATTTTTGTCGCGGGCCACATTATAGTTACAAGTTCCCTTTGAGGGCCGTTATGACTGTGAAACCAAGTCAAGAATAATGTTTTATTCAACAACAGTTTAAGTTACTGTAATAAGGGTTTTGGTAAGAAAATTTAGCTCTCGTATGTATTACACACGAAATTTGGAAATTTTGGTACAAATTTTAGCAAGCATCACAGAAGTCAACATGTTTGATTTGCTTTCTCGGGCCACATCAAATGACGTGGTGGGCCAGATCTGGCCCCCGGGCCTTGAGTTTGACACCTGTGGTATACGCTCATCTCAAATCAATTTACTGTCACAGGTTTTCTGTAGTGTTCCTGAGCCCTTGTGGTCATATCCTTTACACATTGATATCGGTTTTTGATGTAGTGCCGCCTGAGGGGGTCAAAAGGTCATGGGGATCAACGTTGGCTTTCGGCCTTGCCTTTTGATGACGATATATACCGTTGATGATGAAATCCCCAAATTCCTTGCAATTGTATGTTGAGGAATATTGTCCTTAAAACGGTTTGACTATTTTCTCATGTAGTTCTTCACAACGAAGCGAACCTCGCCCAATCTTTGCTTGTGAACGGCAGAGCAATTGAGGGAAGATTATTTTATTGCCAATCATGGCACCCACCTGTTCCCAGTTAGCCTGTCCACCTGTGGGATGTTCCAAACAGGTGTTTGATGAGCATTCCACAATGGAGGTTTGAAGTCTGTATTGTATTTGTTTTGGGGCTTTGGAATGGTGGTTGCACAGTATTACACTCAATTGAATCAAGTCAATATGTGAATAGTTTTGCAGCCCATATTGCTATAGTGTAATGATTTAAAAAGATGGAATTCCCACCCAATGCCACTAATGATAACTACAAAAAAAAAAGAACAAAGAGCAGTTCAGTATCTCCCCGGATGTAAACTCCTGGTTTACCTTTGAGTGAACTCTGCTGGGGATGAGAATCAGAGAGTTGTCTAATCGCTCCCCTCATAGAGCGGCCTATGCTATCGAGCCCAGCTCTGCTAAGTGACGACACCACGAAGGGCAATTGTGAGGTAGCGAGACGAGGGGAGGAATGGAGAAAGCCCCTCTGCGAGTTTATAAGTTCACGCTTTATCCCTGACCCGATAAGCAAACAGTGTCGTCCACGTAGCGGCCTATTAATACACCCGTTGCTTTATCCTCCCTCCTCATCGAAATCAGAGCCAGCCGCCGTTTCATTAAATGGTTAACCATGCACGCCGCTCGACCCGGGACTTGGCAACGCATCACTCTGAAATCCCAGTTTAAGTCTCAAAAACATTTGAACTTGTTTGGTAATTAACAGGTATTCGTGTTGTGATTAAAGAGACAGTGAGGGCTTAACTAGCATCTGATGCAGCTTAGAGCAAGGATGAAAGATCGATCGCTTCATACAGATAAAATACTGGAAAACGCGAGAAGGTAATGCAGAATTTCAAATGATGAAAAAAGGTACCACTTAATTTTTTTTCGACACAACCTTAATATCCATTCATCAATTTTCTCCAGGGCTTGTTCTCATTCGGGTCAAGGGTGAGCTGACAGTATGGGTGCGCACAATCAAACAACCATTCACACAGATATTACACACACACGATGCTTGAATTATGAATTGAGTTGGATTCATTGCCAACACACAGCTCTCATTTCTAAAATTTTAAAATGTTTGCTCATAAGTCAAAGCAAAAAAATCTCAAACCAAGTCAGATGATTTGCATCTCAAGGCACCGCTGTATACCGTCTCAATTTGGAGACAGTACACCGGTGAGAGGCTGGCGATGCGACAGAGTAGGGAGGTTGACGTCTGCACTATTGTAAGGGTCACAAAATGGGAGTCAATCCGAGTGGTTCTGGTCAAAACGGGTCAAACAGGCAGCAGTAATTGAATCCCGATCAAAAAATGGGGCCTGAACAGCAAAAGATGAAAAGGAGATGGAAGAGGTCACTCAGCCACCTTACGGGTGAGATGGCTCTCGTTTTCATTAATAACAGCCCTGATCCCATTTTTATGTTCAAAAGCTAGGAAACTTCCTTTTCCCCGCCCTCTGGACATCCACATCATGAAAGCCTCTACGGTTGGGAATATCAGAAACAGGCCACAGAACAACTTTTTCCATTTTTCCACAGCACTATGTAAACTGCAAAAACCACGGCACATTGAACGCATCACAATGATATTCCTAAGTGTCATACAAATGTTGAGTACCGTTGAATTTTTATTTTTTTAAGTACAGTAACGTAAAAGAGGGCGG